AGGGATGATGGGACATGAAGTACACCAAACTCTCCAGACTAGAGTTAAGATCATATAAGGCTGTTGATCTATACTTAGTTGGGAATAAGCTCTATTGAACTCTCAGGGCATGGGTGGGTTTGGGATGCTGCATTGCCCAGAGAAAAGGAAATCTTAGATATAGTATGTGGCATGATTTACAACTCTGTGCACATGCATTGTGCTCTTTGTGTGTTTGCTTCATATGTGTCCAGTTCAGATTTGACTCGGGGGCCCAAATCTGGGGCCCCGTGATGCTTCCTGATTTGTGTGTGTGTGTGTGTGTGTGTCAGGAGTGACTTGAGAAACTGTAAGTCACTTCTGGTGTGAGAGAATGGCAGTCTGCAAGGATGTTGCTCAGGGGATACCTTGATGTTTTACCATTGTGGGAGGCTTCTCACATGTCTCCACACGGGGAGCTGGAGCTGACAGAGGGAGCTCATTCGTGCTCTCCCCGGATTCGAACCTCCAACTTGTCGGTCTTCAGTTCTGCCAGCTCAAGGCTTTAGCCCATTGTGCCACCGGAGGCTCCGGTGCTTTTTGATCAGTAAATGTTATGCATTAAGTAGTACTAATCATAGTTGCTCACAGCTTGTCATTCAAACACACAGAGAGAACAAATTGCACCCAATACTTTACACAGGAGGTGAATGTAGACCTTGATCTCTTTCCTGGAGGTGATTCATGAAAACTGGTAACTCTGGCCCTGAGATTTGGCAACCCTAGTCTATGCATATTTTTGCATCAATGATATGATCCTATGTTAAATTGCTTGATCAAGATTCTGGGAGCTGTATTCCACAGAAGTAATTTCTCCAAGCTCTGGGTGAATGATCTAAAAATTCCATTCCGTGCCTATAGAGAAAACACGCAGGAAGCATGACTTAGACTGGCCGACAGTTCCTCCTCCTCCACCACCACCAAAGCTGACATGCAACTCCTTCTTTGACCTTTCTGCTGCACAGGATTTCTTTTTCTTTTTGTACAGGCGGAAGGCATTTTGGTCATGTTGTCCCCCCAGAGGCAATAGACTGGAGCTGCCTATTGGCTAGATGACGTCTCTCCTGCACTTTTGGAGGGCAAAGAGCATCCTCTGGCCAGATAAGGCCCAGCTTGTGCAACCTGACCAAGGGGGAGAGGGACAGATCAGAGGGGAGCCTAATGCAAGATGGATTTAAACGACAGACAAGCACCATCCAGGCTGGGGAAAGAAAGGGGAGAGGAATACTAACATCTTTTTTGAAGAAATCCCATTTATTTTTTCTCTTATAGTGTGTTGTCAATATTTTAATAGGATTGTAGAAAATGCGAGCAGAAAAGGGGGACATTCCCACCCATTAGAGTTCTGCCGCCTTCATAAAGCTTTAATTCAGTCCTCAAATGTCTAGTATTGAAGTTCCGAATTCAGAAATAGAGATTAGGTATCCAAAGAAAAGGACAACAAAACCTCAACATTACCAACTTCACAGAAAGTGCATCCACACTGTAGAATGAATGCAGTTTGACATCACTTTATGTGCCATGGCTCAATGCTATGGACTTCTAGAATTTGCAATTTTATATGGCCTTTAGCCTTCTTTGCTTCAGCAAACTAGAGCATCTATGTTTCTATAGCATTGAGACTTGATAGTTAAAGCAGTGCAAAACTAATTTAATTCTACAGTGTACAATGATGCACTTTGTTATGAATCTGTAACTGCAATTAAGGATATCTACAAAATCTCTTTCTTACTATTTATATATGTATCTGCCATATATATATGAGCATCTACTTATCTACCTACCTATCATCTAATCTATAAGGAGCCACGGTGGTGCAATGGGTTAAACCTTTGTGCTGGCTGAACTGCTGGTCTGAAGGTCAGTGGTTCAAATCTGTGAGATGGGGTGAGCTCCCACTTGTCAGCTCCAGTTTTCCATGCAGGGACACGAGAGAAGCATTCCACAGGATGGTAACACATCCAGGACTGCAAGGTCAACCTGCCCACCAGTGAAATCCATGAGATTAATTTTCTTTCAGGTACTCTGAATGTTCTTTTAATGTTTTGGTCCAGTGAACAGAAAGGCAAGACACCAGCAGTTAGGAATCAGGGAAAGTTAGCTGTCCTTTTCTCATTGATTTTCCCCATTTCCCCCTTGTTATTCTCATTCTGTCTTTGCTTCACATTGAAAAGAGCAGGCCTGGGAAAATTTTGTCCTTTCTGGTGTTTTGCCACTTAAGCAGCTGAGGGAGAATTTTGGGAGTTGAAGTCCAAAAGAGCTGGAGGGACAAAGTTTGCCCAGGCATGGGATAGAGAGACTCTTTTCTTCTCTGGATAAAGGGCTGTGCATTTTTATTTGTTTATCTTTTTTTAAACATATGTGTATTTTACAAGTGTATGCATGTTTCAATGCATTTTATTTTCCTCCCGAACACTCACAGCCTTGGAAATGTATAGCTTCTGTTGGTAGCTTTGGAACATAGAAAAAAAATTCTCAATCAAAATATGAACCATATGAAATCATGAGAGTAGGCTTAAATAATAACATTTTGAACCACCTTGGGTGAAGAAGCTTTATTTCCAATTAAACATGTTGCTGCTAATTATTGTATTTATGTATTTTTCCTCTCAAAATGCTAAACTGTGATCTGACTTGACAAGTAGACAACAAACCTCCAAAATGACTTGTGTGAATTTTACTGCTGTATTTACAAATGAAGCTTTTCTATCTGCAGCCAGTTTTCCCCGGCACACGTTTATTTTTCATGATTATTCCAATGATAAAAATTAGAAAATCACCATTACTACACCATTGCCTTGAAATCAGGCAGCAACAAGACTGATTAGTTTCATAAAGCCCTCTTACAGTGTCGAGGCAACAGGGATGTCAGGAGGGGAGAGGATGGCTGCCCACAAAGGATTACCACTACTACATCAACTCTAGATTATGAAATATGGTTTTCTCTGGGTGAGCAGATGGCGACTACTGGATGGCATATATTTTGTATCAGAAACTAGAGCTGTTGTGTTCTATCCAATGCAATTTTCTGAATCAGCACCCCAAATAACCAAACTGAATCTAAAGATCCACCCAGAGGAAAAGTGTTCCTGCCATACATCAAGGGAACCACTGACCGCATAGGGAAGCTGATGAGGAAACACAACATACAAACAATCTACAAACCCACCAAGAAAATCCAACAAATGCTACGTTCAGCAAAGGACAAGAGGGATCCTCTCACCTCTGCAGGAGTCTACCGTATACCATGCAGCTGTGGACAAGTCTACATAGGGACCACCAAACGCAGTGCCCAAACAAGAATCCAGGAACATGAAAGGCACTGCAGACTACTCCAACCAGAGAAATCAGCCATAGCAGAGCACCTGATGAACCAACCTGGACACAGCATTTTATTTGAGAACACAAAAATGCTGGACCACTCTCACAACCACCATGTCAGACTACACAGAGAAGCCATTGAAATCCACAAACATGTGGACAATTTCAACAGAAAGGAAGAAACCATGAAAATGAACAAAATCTGGCTACCAGTATTAAAAAATTCTAAAATTAAAACAGCAGAGAGAAAAACAGGCAGGGACATCTAATCACCTTTCAAGAAGAGTTTGCTCCAGGCACAGTCAGCCCATTGTATGCTAATCAAGGTGGTCAGTTGAAAGATTCACACCTAGCCCAACTTACAAAAGCCCTTTGTCTCACCCTGGTCATTCCACAGATATATAAACCCCTTTTTTCCCAGCTCCAGCAGACCTCACCTCTGAGGAAGCTTGCCATAGATGCAGGCGAAACGTCAGGAGAAATGCCTCTAGAACATGGCCATATAGCCCGAAAAAACCCACAAGAACTGAGTGAATCTAAAGTTGACCAAAAATTGATTTGTAACCCTTTTGTTACTCATGTTGGAGAGTGGTCCCTGGTCAAAGTGGTCTCTGTTCAAGTGGACCCTAGTCAAGAGGTTTATTGTCCAATAATAGGTTGGGAAGCACTGGACTATGGGGAGCAAAATGAGGGAACTGAGGGCAATAAGAATACTGCTGTCCAACGAGCAATGCAATTTTCCTTCCTTCCCCATTTCCAACCTTCGCAAGACTGACACACTGAAAATTATTCACACTTAGAATTTTTTTTATTTTCAATCTTACCATCAAAAGGAAAAAAATAAATCAAAGTTTGACTGTGCCTGAACTACTGCGTAAGCTGTGCAGCAATGTAAATCCCATGAATAAATACAATTAATAATATGAATGTTCCTTAGAAGAGAAGTGGATGAAACTGACATGATCCTAATATGGACACTGGAAAATGTGTGCCAGATTTACAGCTTGCACACTTTGCAAGCTTTTTTTAACCTTTTACAAATGGAGCATTAAGTACTTCCAAGTGCTTTCTCTCTCTGTGAAAGTATTAGTCATAAGGACTAGAACCATATTTTTTAAAAAGAGAATGTGTGTGAATGTTTGTGTAGAAGAGTCTATGCCACAAAGTGAAATCCTATGCTTACAACCCCAGGTAGATTTCTAGTCCTGGAACAACAAAGAAAATGGGTCTGACAAGTGAAGGACTGCAAGGCCGCACTGCCCAATTTTTGAATTCTTCCTCTTTTTAAAGCTCTGAGGTTTGAGCCTTCCTAACAGTTGACTGTTTGAGTCGCATAATGCAATACCTGTTCCTCTGGCTTAACGTTACACTGTTTCTCACACCGCAGGATTGCTTCACATTATTCTGAGATGTAAAACCATTTTTCTCTTTCTTTTCTCCAGTGCTGGGCTGTCTTTTGCTCAGGCATGGGACACTCCCACTGCTTTTAATGATATGTTTTGCTTCAAATTGGTGTCCTTTACGCTGGAACTGAGTCACCTTCTTGTAAACAGGTAAATGTGGGAGTCAAGGAGGGGAAAATATACGCTTGCCTCTCCAAGGTGGGTGTCGTTAATTAGATGGGACATTAGGGTTCATTACTTCAAGTAATGGCACTCCCTCTTCACAAGTCTCAATGGCAGAGATTGCAAACGTTCACCAGGGCTGCACGAAGCCTTTGAAGGTCACTGTCCTCTCCAACTCAATGGGCATTTAAAACAGGCTACAAGGCAGGGTAGTACAGTGGTTTGAGCACTGGACTATGACTTTGGAGACCAGAGTTCAAATCCTCACTTGGGCATGATATCCATTGGGCAAGTCACACACCCTCGGCTTCAAAGGAAGGGAATAGCAACACTTTTCTGAAGAAATCTTGCCAAGAAAACCTTGTGGTAAGTTCACCTGAGGGACACCATAGCTTGAAACAGACATGAAGGCATGCAAAAACTCTTCAATAGCTTAGTGCAAACCCTCGTGACCGTAAAGCAAAGAAGTGACTACTTTGGCACGTAATATGTCTGCTTTCATTTGATTCCAGAAGTGAAGCAAGATCAGCTTTGCTTCATACTTGGAATGTTGGATTACCAGGGGATATCACGAATGTACAAAAAACTGTCTTCCTTGAACCCCTAAAGAATCATGGTTATCAGTCAGAGTTGACAATACTGGATAGACAAAGGGTCTGTTTTAGCATAAGGGTAGTTTCTTATGTTCAGGACCTAATTTGCTTTCTGAGGCTAAGCAGGGAAACCGTCAAAGCAAGACAGGGATCTCCAGAAAGCAGTAGGAAAACGTCCTGCCTGAAACCTTGGAGAGTCATTGCTGCCCATCAGAGTAGATAGAATTGGAGTAGATGGACTCATGCCCCATCTACCCTACCCTATATCCCAGGATCTGATCCCTGATTATATGCTTTGGACTGGATGAGTCTACACTGCCAGATCATCTGAGATAAGCAGATTTTTTTTAATGTTCAAGAAATAGTTTTCTAAGATCTACAGACACTCGCTGGAACACTTCAGCAAGTGAGAGTCCAAAAGTGGCAGGCTCAAACCCAGAACCTCAATCAATGGCTGATACCAAATGAGAGACTCCCCCCTGGGCACACAGAAAACTGGGCGACTTGGAAGACGCTGAACAGACTGTGCTCTGGCACCATGAGATGCAGAGCCAACCTTAAGAAATGGGGCTACAAAGTGGAATCCACAACATGCAAGTGTGGAGAAGAGCAAACTACAGACCACCTGCTGCAATGCAACCTGAGTCCTGCCACATGCACAATGGAGGACCTCCTTGCGGCAACACCAGAGGCACTCCAAGTGGCCAGATACTGGTCAAAGGACATTTAATCAACTACCAAGCTTGCAAACTTTGTGTTCTGTTTGTTTGTTTGTTTGTTTAAAAATGCAATGCAATTTGTTTGGTTTGCCCCTGACATGATAAATAAATACCATCCTTGTGGGAGGCTTCTCTTTTTTCCTCACATGGGGAGATGGAGCTGACAGAAGGAGCTCAAACCACTCTCCATGGATTCGAACCACTGACTTGTCAGTCAGTAGTCCTGCCAGCACAAGGGTTTAACTCACTGCGCCACCAGGAGCTCCACATGCAGATGATCTGAGATGACATCCTGGCATATAGGCCAGTGTAGATCCAGCCTCAGTACAAACCACTTTTTTGTGCTAGAGAAGGGAGAGATCTTTGCCGGAGCCTGCGTGCTGTGTTTAGAGCCTATCAGTAGCTTTTTAGGACCTGATTCCAAGCTTTTCCAAAGGAAAAGGGAAAACAAATTGCCCCTACTAATAGAAATGGTGAGTTCTGCTGCTCCTTTTTGGAGCAACCCAAGAGCTCTGCAGAACCAGCACCAGAACTGGTTTTCATTACTGAAGCACAGCCAAGAAACACATGAAGCAATCACAGAAGAATGATGTTCCTCTGAATGGGTGCATGCATGTTGCTCGCTCTATCTCCTTATCATCTCACACCCCAATCTGGGATTAAGGAAAAGGTCTTCCTAATTAGACCTGTCCAGACATGTCTTGTCTCGATACCTCTCTGTCTCATTAAACAATAGAACATAAAATTAAGTGCTGATAATTTCTAATCAATTCCAAAGTCTCACTTTTAAGAAAAATATTTTATTATATTTTGTTTTGAATTCAGGTGCTAGTATGGCTTCTTTACCTAAATCATCTTCCTTTTCCTTTATGGTGGGTATCTACAACTGAATAAGAAACCATAAATGAATGCAGAGTTCTGAAGTGGAAAGGGCTTCTGTTTTCCTTGGTCAGTTAAAAACCAAACATTTTAATTTTGACTCTTGGACCCTTCCCTGTTTATTACTGTTCTTGACCCCTCGTTCTTGGAGCATTTCAATTCATATTTCTTGAAAGCACACTCTACACAAGCTTATTCAAAAATGAGTTCAATTACATTTGATGGATCTTAGTTCCTTCCCAGTTTGGTGTCCTGTTGGACCAGCAACTCCATTGTTCCCATTTGGCATGGCTATGTTTATCTGGCGTAATGGGAGTTGGTGGTGTAGTGGTTTGGGTGTTGTGCTTAAGACTAGGGTTTGAACCTTTGCTTTACCTAGAGACTCAGTAAGGTTTATTTACTATGCTTCTATTTATTTACTATGCTTCTATACCACCATTCTCAGCCTGAGGGCGACTCATGGCGGTTTATAAAACGGCACAATTCGATGCCCACAACAGTACAAGGATAAACATTAAAAACATTTAACATGGATAAAAAAAATTCATTACAATTAACATCAATAAACATAATAAAAACCATAAGTCCTCCGCATTTCATTACCAGTCATTGTCCAGTCACATTGTCCAACCGTTCTTGGGCAAGTCACACTCTCTCAACCTTGGAGGAAGGAAAAGGCAAACCCTCTTTGGACAAGTCTTTCCAAGAAAAAACAGTTGAAGTTGAAAACGACTTGAAGGCACAAAACAATAGCAATAAGGTTGGTGGAAGGCTGCAAGCAAGCATGTTTTGAACTGTGGGCTGAAACAGATAAAGGAAACTACGACCAATTTGGTGAACTCAGAACAGTTTTTAAAAAATCGTGTCAGAATTGAATTGAGAATATACTGCAAGTTGCTTCTGGTGTGAGAGAACTGGCCATCTGCAAGGATGTTGCCCTGGGAAGCCCTGGATGTGTCACCATCCTATGGGAGGCTTCTCTCATGTCCCTGCATGGGAAGCTGGGGCTGACAGACAGGAGCTCACCCCAACTTGCGGATTCGAACTGCCAACCATCAGGTCTTCAGGTCAGCAGTTCAGCTGGCACAAGGGTTTAATCCATTGCGCAACCACTGCTCCCACTCAGAACATTATCTAGCAAGAAGGGCAGAGAGTGCATGTCAGGTATTGCATTTCTCCCCTTCTTCCAAATTCCCGGCATCTCCACTCTCCAGGAATAGAATGCTGGGTGTGCCAGTTTCCAATGGGACTTCCTCTTCACCAGAGATTGGCCAAGTTCCTCTTTGAGCTACAGCTACCAGAAGACTCCAGACCTTCTCTAGAAAGTAACTTTGCCGAGGCCTCAACATATTGCGAACCAGTGGCATTGTGTTCTTAGGTGTGTTTCATGGAGTCATAGAGTTGGAAGAGGCCACAAGGGCCATCCAGTCCAACCCATTCTGCCATGAAGGAACATACAATGAAAGCACCCCTGACAGATGGCCATCCAGCCCCCAGTGGCACAGTGGGTTAAACCCTGTGCCAGCAGGACTGAAGACCGACAGGTCGCAGGTTCGAATCCGGGGAGAGGCGGATGAGCTCCCTCTATCAGCTCCAGCTCCTCATGCGGGGACATGAGAGAAGCCTCCCACAAGGATGATAAAACATCAAAAATCATCCGGGCGTTCCCTGGGCAACTCTCTCACAACAGGAGCGGTTGCTCCTGACATGACAAAAAAAAAATCCAGCCTCTGCTTAATAACCTGCAGAGAAGGAGACTCCACCACTCTCTGAGAAGGCAGTGTATTCCATTGCCCATCACTTCCTATTAGGACACACAAATAAATTCCCATTGAGCTTGGAAGGACAACTCTGTCACATGAACAATACTAAAGACAATTGTTATTTTATCCTTTCTTTCTTAAAAAGTAGAACGATGCCAAATTGATGGTGCCTTTTCCAATCCGTGCTCCAAATGGATTCTGTCTGTCCAAAGGCGCTTGCAAAGATCTCTCCCACATCAAAGAAAACAGGCTCCCAGGCAGAGAAGTTGCAACGTTTTCCTCCTTGGATCTTATGCTTGAGGAAATGACCTCCCCCCACCCTCTGCCATCAAACCACATCTTGTTTTTATTCCAGTGGTCCTCAGTATCTACTGGGATTTGGTTCCTATTATATACAACTCCCATTATAAACAGAGTAGCCAAAAGTCACAAAGGTAGTTACATATTTAATAACACCATAGCATCATTCAAATAAAAGGTAAAGGTTTCCCCTGACATTAAGTCTAGTCATGTCTGACTCTGGGGGATGGTGCTCATCTCCATTTCTAAGCCAAAGAGCTGGCCTTGTCTGTAGACACCTTCAGGTCATGTGGCCGGCATGACTACATGGAGCACTGTTACCTTCCTGCAGAAGCAGTACCTACTGATTTACTCACATTTGCATGTTTTTGAACTTCTAGGTTGGCAGAAGCAGGAGCTCACTCCTGCTCCTCAGATTCAAACCACCAACCTTTCAGTCAGCAAGTTCAGCAGCTCAGCGGTTTAACCTGCTGCACCATCAGGGGACCCCTATCATTCACATATGAAAAATGCATTACATGATGTGTGAAATGTTTTCAAAGATGCCTTTGTGACTTTTGGCCCACCCTATGCAATGACATTGGTGTCCATTAAAATGCAAAATCCAAGCTTGGATATACATATATGGTCAGATCTATGGATGCAGAGGAGACAGGAAAGCCTAGAGAAGACAATTATGCTGGGGAAAGTGGAAGGCAAAAGGAAGAGGGGCCGACCAAGGGCAAGATGGATGGATGGCATCCTTGAAGTCACTGGACTGACCTTGAAGGAGCTGGGGGTGGTGACGGCCGACAGGGAGCTCTGGCGTGGGCTGGTCCATGAGGTCACGAAGAGTCGGAGACGACTGAACGAATGAACAACAACATGGATGCAGAACCTGTGGAGATTTTTGGGGGGGGGGGGCAGATAAGGTAGCAAAATAATGTCTAAATAATAGACAAATGCAAAGACAAAGGTTGGAATAAAATGATATATACATTCCAACCTTGACTTTTGGAATAACACACACACTCTCCCCCCCCCCCCCGTGTATGCATGCAATATATATATATATATATATATGAGATACACATACACACATATTCCCACCTTGATTTTTGGAATAATTGAATATGCATTATATATATATATATATATATATATATATATATACACACACACACACACACACACACACACACACACACACACATATACACACATTCCCACTTTGGTTTTTGGAATATTGAATATGTGAGATATATATATAACATGAAAGGTCACAGGTTTGAATCTGGGGAGCGGGGTGAGCTCCCACTGTTAGCCCCAGCTTCTGCCAACCTAGCAGTTCGAAAACTTGGAAATGTGAGTAGATCAATAGGTACCACTCCATGGGGTCATGCCAGCCACATGACCGTAGAGGTGTCTACGGACAACGCCAGTTCTTTGGCTTAGAAATGGAAATGGAGTCAGACACGACTCCATCTATCTATCTATCTATCTATCTATCTATCTATCTATCTATCTGATACATATACACACACACATATATATATATATGTATATATATATATGTATATAAAGTCTTGGAACGTGTGGTGGCCTCACAACTCCAGGTATTCTTGGTAGACACGGATTATCTAGACCCGGCACAGTCTGGCTTTAGGCCGGGACATGGTACCGAGACAGCCTTGGTCGCCTTAGTGGATGATCTGCGCCGGGAGCTCGACAGGGGGAATGTGTCCCTGTTGGTGCTGCTGGACCTCTCAGCGGCCTTCGATACCGTCGACCACGGTATCCTTCTGGGACGCCTCGCAGGGATGGGTCTTGGAGGTACTGTTTTGCAGTGGCTCCGGTCATTCCTGGAGGGTCGATCTCAGAAGGTGTTGTTGGGGGACACCTGTTCAACCCCACAACCATTGTCTTGTGGGGTTCCTCAGGGCTCAATATTGTCTCCCATGTTGTTTAACATCTACATGAAGCCGCTGGGGGAGATCATCCGGAGTTTCGGGGTACGGTGTCATCTGTACGCGGATGATGTCCAACTCTGTCACTCCTTTCCACCTGCTACTAAGGAGGCTGTCCAGGTCCTGAACCGGTGCTTGGCCGCTGTGACGGTCTGGATGAGGGCGAACAAATTGAAATTGAATCCAGACAAGACAGAGGTACTCCTGGTTAGTTGCAAGGCCAAAACAGGGCATAGGGTTACAGCCTGTGTTGGATGGGGTCACACTCCCCCTGAAGATGCAGGTTTGCAGCTTGGGTGTGATCCTAGATTTATCACTGAGCCTGGAGCCCCAGGTCTTGGTGGTGAACAGGGGAGCATTTGCACAGCTAAAGCTTGTGCGCCAGCTGCGCTCGTACCTTGGGAAGTCTGACTTGGCCACGGTAGTCCACGCTCTGGTTACATCCCGTTTAGACTACTGCAACGCTCTCTACGTGGGGTTGCCTTTGAAGACAGCTCGGAAGCTCCAACTAGTCCAACGCTCGGCAGCCATGATTTTAACAGGAGCGGAGCGCAGGGAGCATACAACCCCCCTGTTGCGCCAACTCCACTGGCTACCGATCTGCTACCGGGCTGAATTCAAAGTGCTGGCGTTGGCCTTTAAAGCCCTAAACTGTTCTGGCCCAAGCTACCTATCTGACCGCATCTCTGCCTATGAACCCACCAGGACTTTGAGATCTTCCGGGGAGACCCTGCTCTCGATCCCGCCTGCTTCTCAAGCTCGGCTGGCGGGGACGAGAGATAGGGCCTTCTCGGTGGTGGCTCCTCGGCTGTGGAACGCCCTTCCTACGGACATTAGACTAGCACCATCTCTAATGGTATTCCGCAAAAGGTGAAGACCTGGATGTTTGTGCAGGCGTTTGAGTAATTTAGTGCAATCTGGTAATGGAACATAGGAATGGAACAATGGACGACGAACCTGGACTATGCTTGGATGATGAGAAGATTGGGTACGGTTGTTTTTTGTAATAATTGTGCATTGTAATTGCTTATTGGTAATTTATGGATAATGTGTTAAGTCAATTGTTATATGTTGTATGGAACTGCTGTTTCTACTGTTTTTACTGTTTGTGAACCGCTGTGAGTCGCCTTCGGGCTTGAGAACAGCGGTATATAAGTAAAGTAAATAAATAAATAAATAAATAAATAAATATTCAATTATTCCAAAAACTCAAGGTGGGAATTTGTATGAGTGTATATATATATATATATATATATATATATATATATATACACACACACACACACACACACACACACACACATATGCAGACACATACCTTGATTTTTGGAATAAGTGAATGTGATACACATATACATACATTCCCAACCTTGAGTCTTCATTTTTTGCATTTGTAGATAATGGACACTATTATACTATCCTATACAGAATGGAATAGTGGCAAGCTGCGGAGAGTTGCAAGTAATGACAGTGGTCGCAGGTTTGAATCTAGGGAGTGGGGTGAGCTCCTGCTGTTAATCCCAGCTTCTGCCAACCTAGCAGTTTGAAAACATGCACATATGAGTAGATCAATAGGTACCGCTCCATGCAGTCATGCCGGCCATATGACCTTGGAGGTGTCTACGGACAATGCTGGCTCTTCAGCTTAGAAATGGAGATGAGCACTACCCCCCAGAGTCAGACACGACTGGACTTAAGATCAGGAGAAAACCTTCACCTTTACCTATCTATCTACGTATCTATATATAAATCACGCATATTCAATTAGTCCAAAAAATCAAGGAGTGGGTGTGTTGAATAATGCATATTCAATTATTCCAAAAATCAAGGTGGGAATTTGTATCCGTGTATGTATACACACACACACACATATGCTGGCACACACACATACACCTTGATTTTTGGAATAAGTGAATGTGATACACACACACATACACACATTCCCAACCTTGAGTCTTGTTTTTTTTGCATTTGTAGATAATAGACACTATTATACTATCCTATACAGAATGGATATACACACACACACACATACTGGCACACACACACACACCTTGATTTTTGGAATAAGTGAATGTGATACACATATACAGACATTCCCAACCTGAGTGGGTGTGTATACATATAACGCATATTCAATTATTCCAAAAATCAAGGTGGGAATTTGTATGCGTGTATGTATATATACACACACACACACACACATGCTGGCACATACACACACACACACCTTGATTTTTGGAATAAGTGAATGTGATACACACACACACACACCAAACCTTGAGTCTTGATTTTTTGCATTTGTAGATAATGGACACTATTATACTATCCTATACAGAATGGATACACACACACACATGCTGGCACACACACACACACCTTGATTTTTGGAATAAGTGAATGTGATACACATATACAGACATTCCCAACCTGAGTGGGTGTGTATACATATAACGCATATTCAATTATTCCAAAAATCAAGGTGGGAATTTGTATGCGTGTATACACACACACATGCTGGCACATACACACACACACACCTTGATTTTTGGAATAAGTGAATGTGATACACACACACACACATACCAAACCTTGAGTCTTGATTTTTTGCATTTGTAGATAATGGACACTATTATACTATCCTATACAGAATGGATATATATATACACACACACACATGCTGGCACACACACACACACCTTGATTTTTGGAATAAGTGAATGTGATACACATATACAGACATTCCCAACCTTGAGTCTTGATTTTTTGCATTTGTAGATAATGGACACTATTATACGATCCTATAAATGGCAAGCCGCGGAGAGTTGAGCCCGTGCGGGTTCAGAGCCCTTGGATGCGGTGTCCGGGGGCGGGAGGCGTCACCAAGAGCTGGGGAGCCTCCCCCTTGGGCCAGCCCTCCGCGCAGGCGCAGTAGAGGTGCCGGGCTCCTTGGGCGTCCCTCCTCCTCCTGCGAGAGAAGGAAGGAAGGAAGGAGGGAAGGCTTGAGGAAAGCAGGAGGGAGGCGGGCGGCGCGTGCGGGCCCGTGACGTGAGGCGGTTGCCATGGGACGCGCCGCCCCTATAAAGACCCGCGCGCCAAGGCACTTTCCCAACAAAGTCCAGAGAGGAGGAGAGCAAAGAGGAGAAGGAGGAGGAGGAGAAGGAGAAAGGGAAGGAGGCAGCGTGAAACCCTGGGAGGAAAGGGAAAAGGAAGGGAGAGGGAAGGACGAAAGAGAGGGTTTAGAGAGAGGCGGCTCCCCTTCCTTCCCTCGCTCCCTCCCTGGCTGGACTCGGGGCTTTGGGAGCTTTCATGAAACGCCTGGTGGCCTGGGACCAGGCATGCCTCCCTCTCCCGCCCTCGGCCTTTAAATCCATGGAAGTGGCCAACCTCTACTACGAGACGGACTGTCTGCCGGCGGCCGTGAGCAAGCTGCACGCGCGGGGAGGGCCCGTGGGGGGCCCGCGGCCCATGTCCGAGCTGAGCCTGGGCGAGCACGAGCGGGCCATCGACTTCAGCCCTTACCTGGACCCGCTGGCCTCGCAGCACCCGCACCCGCACCAGCACGCGCCTCCTCCACCCGCGGCCACGGCAGGGGGCAACTTCGAGCCGCTCCCCTCCGGCAACAACCACAACAACAGCAGCAGCAGCAGCAACCCGGACTTCCTCTCCGACCTTTTCTCCGAGCAGGACTACAAAGCCGGGAAGAAGCAGCAGCAGCAGCAGCAGCACCCCGACTACACCTACATCAGCCTGGCCAAGCATAGCCACCACCCGCACCTCCACCAGGGCCAGAAGGCCTCTCTCTTGGGCTGCTTCTCGCCTCACATGGTGGAGACCAAAGTGGAGCCCGTCTTCGAGCACTTGGACTCGTGCAAAGCCGGCCCGCGCAAGGAGGACGCCGGCGGGGGAGGCGCGGCGGCCCTCGGGGGCCTCTCCTCGCCTTACGGCAGCGCCGTCCGCTCCTACTTGGGCTACCAGTCGGTGCCCAGCGGCAGCAGCGGGAACCTTTCCACCGCCTCTTCCTCCAGCCCGCCGGGGACCCCCAACCCTTCGGATTCCTCCAAGTCCGGAGGCAACCACTACGCGGCCTCGGGAGGAGGGAGCAACGGCGCCGGCGGGAAGAGCAAGTCCAAGAAGTCCCTGGACAAGCACAGCGAGGAGTACAAGATCCGGCGAGAGCGCAACAACATCGCCGTCCGCAAGAGCCGCGACAAGGCCAAGATGCGCAACCTGGAGACGCAGCACAAGGTGCTCGAGCTCACCGCCGAGAACGAGCGGCTCCAGAAGAAGGTCGAGCAGCTCTCCCGGGAGCTCGGCACCCTCCGGAACTTGTTCAAGCAGCTCCCCGAGCCCCTCTTGGCCAACGCCGGGCACTGCTAGCCCGCGGAGACTCGGCTTCCCTTGGGACTCCCTGCTGGGAAAGGGATTGGGGAGAGGAGGGGGGGGGGGGCAAAGGATGCCAAAAAGAGAAGCAAAAAGGGCTCTTCCTCCTCCAGCGTGGAACGGAGAAAGGGGGAAACCGAAACAGAGGCTGGAAGGCCATCTGTCGGGGGTGCTTTGAATGCCATTTTCCTGCTTCTTGGCAGGGGGTTGGACTGGGTGGCCCATGAGGGCTCTTCCAACTCTGTGATTCTATGGAAAAGTTTGGGGTTTGTGGATTTGTTGTGTTGCCTTTCTTCCTGCCTTCCCGTTTCTCAAACTCTTCCCGGCCCAGCGTGTTGGACTTCAGCGCCCAAATTCCCCGCACATTGGTCCTGGGAGCTGAAGTCCAAAGCGCATGGCAGAGAGAAGGTGATAGTATGATAGCTGGTTCCGGAAGCTCTGAGCCTTACGCTGTTTCCGCTCCTTCGGGAGCACTGTTTGCGCAACGCAGAACAAACACAGATATTATAGAAGGAATGTAAGGGTTCTTTAATGGTAAAACTCTAACCCTTATGCGAAACCTAACCCTTACCTTAACTCTAACCCAAACCCTAATCCTAAACCTAACACAAACCCTTACCCTAACCCTTAACCCTAATCCTAACCCTTAGTCCTAATCCTAGCCCAAAACCTAATCCTAACCCAAACGCTAAACCTTACCCTAAGCCTAGCTCCTAACCCCTAATCCTAACCCTACCCCAAACCCTAACCCTAAACCTTATCCTAACTCTCCCCTCCTTTCTGTCCTTCCACCAAATGCAACTACTAAGTATATTCCCAGCCTCAGTGTGCTGCTCTCCCCTTCCCTTATTCACAACCGCCTTTGCGAAATGTGCGTAATGCTCGGAGCTTCCAGACCCAGCTATCATACTATCACGGAGAGAAGTTTGGGAATGGCAGATTCTACACTGTGGAATTGATTCAGTTCAATGTGTTGTCGGAGGCTTTCATGGCCAGAATCACTGTGGCCCCTTCCACACAGCGGAATAAAATCCCACACTATCTGCTTTGAACTGGGATATATAGAAGTGTGGACTTGAATAACCCAGTTCAAAGCAGATATTGTGGGTTATTCTGCCTTGATATTCTGGAAGATAAAGCTGTGTGGAAAGGCCCTGGGTTACTGTGAGTTTTCCCAGGCTGTATGGCCATGTTCCAGAAGCATTCTCTCCTGACATTTCACCTGCATCTATGGCAGGCATCCTCAGAGGTGGTGAGACCTCTGGAACATGGTCATTCAGCCCAGAAAACTCAGAGCAACCCAGTGGTTTAGTTCAGTTGGATACCACTTTTAACTGCCATGGCTCGATGCTGCTGGAACCTGGGAGCTGCAGTTTCCCAAGGTCTGCCAAAGAGTAGATTAGCACCTTGGGGACTTGAGCATGCATCAGGCCAACTTGGGCTTGCCAGGTGTTTTGGACTTCAAGTCCCACAATTCCTAACAGCCTCAGGCCCCTTCCTTTTCCCCCTCAGCCGCTTAAGCGGCTGAGGGGGAAAAGGAAAGGACCTGAGGCTGTTAGGAATTGTGGGACTTGAAGTCCAAAACACCTGGAGGGCCCAAGTTGGCCCATGCCTGATCTACACACTGTAGAAATAATAATAATAATCATAACAACAATAGCAATAATAACTTTTATTTGCTTTCTGCCTCTCCTCACAGCTTGAGGCAAGTTAAGACAGTGGAGCTTCCATCTCTGGAGGGTTTGGATGGCCATCTATCAGGAGTGCTTTGGTTTATGGCAAGGAGTTTGAACTGCATAGTTTTTTTGTGGTCTCTTAACCTTTTCTGAAAATGGATAAAACAAAGGACCATAATAATAATAATTTGTGTTTCAAATAATAATAATAATAATAATAATAATAATAATAATAATAATTCAGGACCATAAAATAATAACAATTTGCTCAAGCAACCAGAAATTACACTTACCTGGCATCTGCCAATCCCTCTGGGTCCTTTCCACATAGCCGTATAATCCAGAATCTATATCAAGGCAGAAAATCCCACCATATCTGCTTTGAACTGGGTTATATGAGTCCACACTGCTATGTATTCCAGTTCAAAGCAGATAAATGTGGGATTTTCTGCCTTGATAGGGCCCTGGGTGTCAGTTCATTGAGGGCCCTTCCACACAGCCCTATAACCCAGAATATCAAGGCAGAAAATCCCACCATACCTACTTTGAACTGGGTTATCTGAAGCTCTTTCTGCATAGCTGAATAAAACCCCACATCTACTTTGAACTGGGATATATGGTGTGAAATCAGATGACTCAGTGTGAAATCAGATGACTCAGTTCAAAGCAGATATTGTAGGATTTTCTGCCTTTATTTTCTGGGCGACATGGCTGTGTGGAAGGGCCATGAGTCCGCACTGCTATATATCCCAGTTCAAGGCAGATGTGGGATTTTATTCAACTCTGTGGAAGGGGGATGACAGTCTAGTATTTATTTAAAAACATAGAATCAAGATTGAAAGCACCAATACTGACCAGATGTTGCTTTGACACCATGTCTGAATGCTCTGAAGTTTTGGGGTCTATAGTTTAGTGAGGCACCAGAAGAAGGTGGAAGTTTGCAAAGACACCTTCCAGGATCCCATGGCAGGAAAAGAGGTGCTGAAATGCATGAATTCTACAGTGTACTTGAACCCCAAGTTGGGAAAGCCAGGGAGGGGGAGCGGGAATTGTTATAAGATATATATCTCTATATAGGGAGAGAGAGAGAGAGAGAAGGCCCAGAGGGTTTACATATATATTATATTATGGTTTTATTTTGTGTGTGCCTTTAATTGACACTCTGATGTTGGGAGAAGCCTTTCTGGCTGCAACTGTGCTTTAGAACTCCTTCGGCTGGCGGGGGGAGTCTCCTGCCCATTTCCATTTACCTCTACCCACACCCAAAGGCATCCTTATTTTCCTCCTCCACAACTTTACTGATATTTTTTTCTGATGATGCCAAATCGAACACAAGCCATGGTAGTTCAGATCAGATATATTTTCAGGGTTGTTTCTCCCCCCCCCCTTCCTTTTTTGTTGGTTGAATGTTAGTGTTATTTAAGGAGTAAAGAAAGAGAGAGATATAATAGCATAAAAGTTGAGAGAAAGGGAGTCTGGAGTGATGCAATCTTTAAAACATGGCTGGGAAGCTCGCTCGCTGCACATGATGCAACTTCGTGTAACTGTCAGTCATGGATTGAGTAATCTGTTAAAGATGTTCTTACAGGTTTTTTTTATTATGATAAAGAATGATCTATTTCTATATATATATGTATATATATAAAGGACATATGTATATTTTGGGATCTATGCATTCTTGCTACGAAGCATTAATGAACAATTTTAATAAAACTTTATTGCTAGGATGGACAATGAGAGCTTGTTTTTTAAAATCACTCACATTCATGGGAGAGAGGAGACGGTGGGAGGGGGAGGGGTCTTGAACCACCATGCAGGTGGTTGGTTAACCCTGGCATTGCTTCTATCCAGCTAAACAAGTTCTGGATTTCTCTCACTGTCTAGCTAAAAAAAATGCTGCTCATTCTTTCAAGCCCAAGAGAATTGGAAGATAACCAGCACAGTAAGTCTCTGTGTTTCCTCCTTATTTTCAAAATACCAATTTATTATAATATGAGTGGGATGTTGGGGTGGGATAAGGCAACATTAAAAAAGGAGAGTAATGTCTGTGCATGTGAAGATTTTAATGCAAATGCTCCTTTGATGTCTGCTTGGTTTGATCAGAGCCAATGAGTGTACCTGGATTGTAGAATTAATGCAGTTTGGGACCATTTTAACTCCCTTGGCAAAACTGGAATCATGAGATTTGTAGTTTGCTGAGGCACCAACACATTTGGGCAGAGAACACTAAAGGGCTTGTAAAACTATAACTCCCCTGATTCCATACCATTGAAATATGGCAGTTAAAATGGTTTTAGAACTGCATTAATTCTACAGTGTAGATTCACCCGCTATTTCAGATGGGTTTCGCTTATTGATAGGAAGTATGTGTTATCAAAACCTTTCATGGCCGGAATCGCTGGGTTGCTGTGGGTGTTCCAGTCTCCTTTGGAGGCTTTTAAATAGAGGCTGAGTGGCCCTCTCTTGGGGGGTGCTTTGAATGTGATTTTCCTGCTTCTTGACAGGAGATTGGACTGGCTGGCGCATGAGGTCTCTTCCAACTCTATGATTCTATGGCCATGTTCAGAAGCATTCTCTCCTGACATTTCACCCACATCTATGGCAGGCATCCTCACAATCTGTGGCAGGCATCCTCACAATCTGTGAGGATGCCTGCCATAGATGTGAGTGAAATGTTAGGAGAGAATGCTTCTGGAACATGCCCATACAGCCCGGAAAACTCGCAGCAGCCCCGATATAGAAGTAAAATTAAAGTTTTGAACTCTATGTGGAGGAAAATAAATTTGAGTTTGTGCAGGGCAATTTCTTTCACTTTCGCATGTAAATGAGAAAGCTATTCCAAGTAACTTTTCTTTGGGTGATTTAACTAAAGTCTCTAGAAAGGGGTGGACAATCTATGCCAGGGGTCCTCAGACTTTTGAAACAGGGCCAAGTCACAGTCCCTCAAACTGTTGGAGGGCCAGGTTATAATTTGAAAAAAACATGAATGAATTCCTATGCACACTGCACATATCGTATTTGTAGTGCGAAAAACACTTAAAAACTATACAATAATTAAAATGAACAATTTTAACAAATATAAACTTGTTAGTATTTCAATGGGAAGTGTGGGCCTGCTTTTGCCTGATGAGATAGGATTGTTGTTGTGTGTTTTCAAGTTGTTTCAGACTTAGGTTGACTCTGAGCGAGGGCTGGGTAAATGACCTTGGAGGTCCATATCCAGCCCCCAGGCTTTAGTTTGAGAACCTTGATCTATGCCATCAGAGCAACTTCTAGAATGTGATTGGGGAGGATCCCATTACATTCCGAGAATCCCATATTTTAGTTTGGTAGTTAAACAAGTTTCTAATTCTCAGTGTTGAGGTGAAATTGAGCATATTGGGTTAAGATATGCAAATGTGTCTAAGCAAGGGTGTGAACTCTGATATTCGGGTTCATTGTATTTTTTCAGATTCTTTTAAGATTCATAGATTTTAGGGGTAAAATTAAGAGTTAGAGCTGACATGGGCAAACTTTGGCCCTTCTGATGTTTTGGACTTCAACTCCCACCATTCCTAACAGCCCCAGGCCCCTTCCTTTTCCC